CCCTCTGTGGCCTCTCAGCTCCTCCAGTGCCCTTGGATTCCAGCACAGAACTGCTGAATGCTTTTTGGTTGGGAGGGGACCTCAAAGCTCCTCTCCTCTGTACTTCTCCTGCCAAACCAAGAGTTATCCTGGGAAAAAAATATTATTTAAGACGTGGTTAAGGCACTGAGATGGAAGCTGGGAGGCTTTGACTGACCCTGGCAGAGACCAGGTGACCCCTTTGTGACAAACGCCACAAAACCAAACCCAAGTTCACAAATCCTTTTCAAAGGAACTTCAGAGCCCCAGGTTTACAAATATTTTATAACCCTCTGGAGCCTTCCTAACCCCACCTGAGCTGTGCAGCCACATCTCCCTTATCAACCCCCCCTGGGCAAGTCTCCGCTTATTTTGGCATCTAAATGTCCTTGAAAATCTTGTCCTGGGAGTCTGAGCCTCAATTAAGATGTTCAGCCTGATTCAAAACCTTCTGAAAATTTTATTCTTATTTTCTGTCTAAGATGAACAACAGTGAAGATTTTATTTTTTCTCACCTCCACTGAAGATATCTGTAAAAATGACACAGATCATCTCAACCCCCAAATGAAATTAAACTCAGAAAACAGAAGGTAATTTGATGAAAAACTTTTTTCCCAGTGTCTGCAAATGGACTCCCACTCATGTGCAGCATTTTTACTCAGTCTCATTTACAAGGTGCTAATTATTATCGCCAAAACAAATTTTTCAATTTGTATTTCAATTATTTTGCAGTAAAATAATATTTGCATTTAAATGGTTTATCCAGGGGGCTCAAAGGCATTTTCATCTCGGGTGTCAGGATTATCTCAAAAACAGAAAAGAAAAATTGAAGAAGGTGGAGTAAGGTTCAAGGTGAAATCCATCCCAACTCACAGTGGAGCCAAAATTAAAGAGTTCCTCATGAAAATCTTGCATTATTGGTCTCCCCTTGTCACCATTAAACACTTAAAACCAGCTTGAATTCCCTTTGCCACTGGAGCTCTGTGTCCAGCTGTAAAATTCAAAGTTCCCTCATGGCCCAAGGAAGATTTCAGCCCCAAATCCCATCTCCTTAAGAATTTACAAGCCCTCAGCCCTTGGAATTCTCCCAATATCTACAATTCCACCCCATCCCTGCTGGAGAGCTGATGGTTTAAAGAGAACTCAGTGGGGAGAGATCCCTTAGAGGTAAATCTGTGCAGAAAAGTTTTTCCGCTGAGGGAGTTCCAGGGGGTTTCTTGTGGGTATTCTCAGTTCAGTCAGAGAGAAAACAAAGGTTTCTAACCAGGCAGAAGCCTGGGAAACAGTTGGGAAAGAATGTAAATAATTCTTTATCTCTCTTGTTTTTCACATTGTTTATAGATACGTTCTGCCACTGTGTGTCATTCACTGCACACCAGTGGGGTGAGATGTTTTTACTTCAGGACCAATAGAACAAAGCTCTCTATAAAAAGAGCGGTATATTTAAAATAAATCATAGTTTGACTCTCACCTTCTGACCTAGAGTCCTTTCATACCGTCCTGCCCCAACAGCATCAGTTTCTTCCTCCTCCCCACCATGTTTTGGATTCTAACTTAGGTTGTACACATCAATTCATTAACCAGCTTGTATTTTCATGCATTTTTTTACTCCCTAAAAGCCCAGAAGTTACACAAGTCCCCTTTTGGTGCTTGCAGAGAGGCCACAGACCCTTTTTAGCTCCCAGGGACTCAGAAAAGCTCTGCAGTAGCCAAAACAGAAGAAACCACTTTATCCACTGCCATCCCCAGCATCTTACACCTCCAGAGCTGAACTAAATTAAAAATATCCCTCGGAACAAGCAGAGACTCCACTTGTTAAAAGCTCCTCACTCCTGCACCACCTCTCTCATCTCCCCACGCTCTTCACAGCGAAATGTTCTGTGTGTTTACAAGTGCTCTGAGATCTTCCAACAAACCCCTCTGCCAGGCAATTGTATTACAGCAGCTCACACTTGTGTGATTGGATTTGAATTACAAAAAGAGTCCAACAGAAAGCAATTTCTCCCGGGAATTTTTGTTAGGATATAAATCCAATTTTTACTTGATTCCGTTAACAGCACTTTCATATTCACTTCCTTTAAGTGTTGCAGCACTTGATATTTATTACCTAATGCCTCCTCATCACCTTGAGCAATCAATGAAAGTCACCTGGAGTTGACAGTACAGAGGAAAGTTAATAAATAAAAGTTAATAATTCACTTCACCCAATGAGCCAAAAAAACAAGCCCGTCACATGCCCCAAAGAATAACAGCTACAAAAGGCTCCTAGAGATTATCTGGAGAAAGAGTGAAACATTTCAATTATACTGAATTTTTCAGTCCATTTAGACGTGAATTTCACATTTACAATGGCAAAAACTGGATTATTATTTCAGGGAATAATAATGGGATGGTTTGGAAGGGGAAAGGAACTTAAAGACCAGCCGTGGGCACTAAAAGCTGTGAGCTCTGTTCAACAAGGAATGGCCCTCTGTCCAAACAGATTTTGGGAACTGATGGATGCTCTGATAGCCCAAAACCAGATTTTTTTTTTTTTTTTGTTCTGTTTTGACCCAATTTAGAAAAGCTCTTGTGCCAAGAACTGATTTTCCATCACTTGTACAATTTCTGCATCCTGTGACCTCTCCACCTCTGTATAACCAACAGAGAAACCCAAAACTCCCTCCCATTAACATTACGTTGTATTTTATTTTTCTCTTGCCTCCTCCATCCATTTAAAACCTCATTTTCACCCACAGACATATTCCACTTCATCTTAGTTTTCAATCCCCAAAGCAGATCAATACCTTTCTTCTTCAATCTACATAGCTTTCAATCAAGGAGCTAACAGGGGGTGAATTGAATCGACTTGTACCTTCAAATTGGGGATTTTTTTGTCAAAAGTCTCATTTGTTAACTGCGTTTCATGGAAGAAAAGGCAAAAAACTCCCTGTAACAGCCCTCAATGTTGGACTCCTGGGTAAAAAAAGGTCATCATTTGTTCTCTAATTTAAGATTGGGAAGTGCTCCCAGGAGGAACAAATGACAGAGCCTCCTCTAAGATGGCATTTTAAATCCAGCAAAATGAACTTGCTCTTATTAAATAAAATTAGTTCATTCAGTAGGAAGAAGTGCAGGTGTTTACCAAGAGGTGACAACAGCAGGGACTCTGCAGGGTTGGTTTTTCTACCTTAAATCTTGCCCAGGGTCAGAACCAGCCCTGCCTGTGCCACTGGAGAAGGGCCCTGGGACAGTGAGACAGTAGGGGAAAGTTAAAAACAGGGTCCTGGAGTGCTCTGGGTTGAAAAGAGACCTTAAACCTCAACCAATCCCATCCAAAAGAGACCTTAAATGTCATCCAATGCCATGCAAAAGAGACCTTAAATGTCATCCAGTCCCATCCAAAAGAGACCTTAAATCTCATCTAATCCAATCCAAAAGAGACCTTAAACCTCACCCAATCCCATCCAAAGGAAACTTTAAACCTCACCCAATCCCATCCAAAAGAGACCTCAAATCTCATCTAATCTCATCCAAAAGAGACCTTAAAAACTTCACCCAATCTCATCCAGAAGAGACCTTAAAACTTCACCCAATCCCACCCAAAAGAGACCTTAAACCTCACCCAAACCCATCCAAAAGAGACCTTAAACCTCACCCAAACCCATCCAAAAGAGATTTTAAATCTCATCCAGTCCCACCCAAAGGAGACTTTAAACCCCATCCAATCCCACCCCATCCCAGGGTGCTCCAGCCTGGCCTTGGACACTTCCAGGGATCCAGGGGCAGCCCCATCTGCTCTGGGAATTCCATCCCAACCCCTCCCCACCTGCCAGGGAAGGATTTCTCCCTTTTTGATCGAGTCCAAAGAACTTCACTCAAAACCCACCCAGGGTTTCTCTCTGGAAATATGGGCTTTTGTATATTGGGGGTTAATTAATTCCAATTACAGTTTCAGCTAATGAAGTCATTTACCCCAAGTTTGCTCCCCCAACTCACTTTTGTTTCCATCTCTCAGGGCCTGAGGCAGTGAGGTGTCCTTGATTGCCAGGCCTGGAGAGGAATTGTTGTCTGTAGTGGTTTTGAGGTTTTAATTTTGAGGTTTTGCGGTTTGCATCACTTCCCTAAATATCTCTCATGCCAAACCATGATCTTGTGTCTGACCAAAATGGGGAAGCAGCTGCTCACACTGCATATGGAGCTCTGAGTTACACACTAAAGAACTGCAGGATTACAAATAGATGAAAAATAAAAAAAAAAACCCTAAAATCCTAAGGCATCTCTGGAAAAAAAAGTCCCCACACAACGAGGGACAAACTCCCCATCCTTCAAACCCTTCATTATTCCAGCAGGTGGACTTTATTTTAATATTAACAGCCCAAGTGGTGCTTAACTTTAATGAGAGCCCCTGGGGAATGCTGCTGGCAGCTGCCCAGTGTCCAGGATCGTGCCTAACCTTTCCCTAATGGAGACAAAACAACAATAGAGAGAAATAAACAATATGCTGTGGGATGCAAGGAGCATCTTTAAAAATGGCATTGCCTTTGGAAAAGCACCAGCTCCATTATCCTCCTGCAGGACGAGATGTTTTCCTCCCCTTTCCAGGAGGAAATGGATTTTTCTGGGTGTTATTATTTGGTGGATAAAGGGGAAAATGATGTTGAATTTGTCAGAGAAGCAGTGAGCTGCAATTTTCTGTACCCCTGAGTTTACACTTTGCAAGGTACAGAGCCTCCTTTGCCCACAGCAGGGAGAAGAGGGGAGAATCCAGCTGGGATTTCTGGATTTAAACATGTGGAAGAGAAAGGATTTGGGACAGGATGTGACCCTGTGTGAGCCACTACACCCCAACACATCACTCCCCACCAAAAACTCCTCAGCAAACGTCCCGTGCCTAAAATCCTGTTTTCTCAGGGAATAAACTCCACCTCAGGCCATACAACTCCAAAAGTAATGACATAAATGCCACACACACACACACACAAAAAGCTTATTTCCAACTCTGCTTTCACTAAATTAACTAAACAAAATATTGATAAACTGCTGATAAATAACAGGAACCGTAACAAGGGAACAAGTTCTCCATTTGATCTCTGCCATCCTGCAGGCATTCATCTTTATAATTAATTAGATAATACTATTAGTACAGCACTACTTTTCCCCCTCCACAGACAAGAAGCTGGAGCTCACATAATTTAAGCAACTCCTTCAAAGGCAGAGTGTGTGGCAGGTTAAAATCAGAAGGTCCAGACCATCCTCTCTGCCAATATCCTGCTTTTCTAAAGCCCAGGATCCAATTCCCTGATGCATCTGGCAAATTCTCAGTGCACACCTCCCACCTTCCCATCTCTGGTGAGTGCACTTTGCTTTGAAAAGCTGCAGTCTTTGCATAAAACATGGATCTAAAGGTATAAAAAGTGTAAAGGCAATTCTGTACGAATTATAGGAGCTGTGCAAATCCTCCCTGCAACACAAACTGCAGCTGGTTTTATTCCTGACTTTTTTTTGACAATCCTACCTAAAGTTCAGTAGCAGACAGGCAACTTTCACCTCAAAATGTCATTCACAATTAATCCCAAATTGTAGATGAAATGGTTGAACTCACTCCACGCAATCAAGGGAGAGAACCAAGAGCACATAAAAGTTGAGCAGTTAATCAACCCCGTGCAATTCGTACCTGCTGAAAGCTCCTCACAAACATCCCAAGATCCCTCCCTGCAGAATAAATCTGGAAATGATTTTGCAAATTCTGTTTATCCCTGTGCAGGGATGGGGAAGGGAAGCAGAGGGAGAGAGGCTCACACCCTGCTGGGTCCCCCAGCCATGGGAGGCAGCAGGGCTGGGCTCCAACAACTCCTGCAAGTCAGGGAGTGTGCAAATAACAGGAGAGCACTGAAGCAGCAAATCCCCAGTTGTGGTTAATTCTCTGCCTGTGATTAACTCATCTTTCTTGGCTAGTCCAGCCTTTTTTTCACCTTCTAATGCAGCTGGGGCCGGGATTATCAGTCTGTGCCCGTCTGCACTGAAGTGACAGCCGAGGGCCAGGCAAAATGCTGCACTCAAACAAATGGAGGTGTCACCAAGGCAGGTGGATGAAACCCAAATAAAGCCATTTCACCAGCACAGAAGAGACTTCCCATTCCAGAGGTCAGAGGAACAAATCTTGCCTTCCTTTTGTGTTAAAGTGTTCTGGACAAAGACACCTTTATTTGAGATTCGCCGTTGTTTTATCTGTCTGGAAATGGCAATCGCAGACATTTTGATAAATGGATGCAGGAATTGTTCTGTTCCAGTGTAACCACTGTGAAATGCCTTTGCACAGACACAGCTCCAACCTCATCTGCAGCACGAAGGCTTCTCAAAAACCACCTCAGGAGCTGCAGCATCACATTCCCGTGCTGGGAATGACGCAGGAGTGACATCCAGGCTGCCCCTGCTGGGTGACCTTGGCCAGGCCCTCCTGCTCCTGCCTCCTTCCCTGTGAAAAACGCCAATCACTTGGTTTTTAAAATTTTAAAAGTTGAATAATAATAAAATGGTTGTAAAAATAATAATACAATTAGAGTAATAAAGTTTAGAGTTAGGACAATTACAAGACAATAAAAAGGAAATAATTACGGACGTCTGGATGCTCTCGGACACTAAGTCAGGAAAAGCATCCCTTGTGAACAAAGGAATCACCCTTAAACAATACACTTGTTGCATATTCATACATCCTTCATGGTTATGCATACATTCTATTCTAAACAAGAAACTCTGTCTGTTGTATGTCAACTGTTTCCTTTAATCCCCTGGCATCTTCAAGTCTGAGCAAGGCCTGAAGAAATTAGCTTCTTCTGATAAGAAAACCAAAACTTCCTCTCCTTTGGAAGATTTAGGTGTTCCTCAAAGCGAGTATCTCATTCCTAAAAAAAGAACTTCCCCACATACATAGTCTCTATTTTAACATTATGTTGGAACCTAAAACTACATTTAACACACTATGTAAGAGAATTAATACAGCACAACTTTCTAACATTACTCATATAATATTCATTGTAATATTTGCTAATTGTATTATTATTTTTATAACCATTTTATTATTATTAAACTTTGAAAATTTTAAAAACCAAGTGATTGGCGTTTTTCACACCAGCCAATCAATGGGATTCCACCACCTCTGACATTTCTGGCTGCTGTGGATGTCAAAGAGACAGCTCAATGCTGCACTCAACAATTCCAGCAGTAGAGAATCTTTACTACTTAATCATTTCCCTTTTTTTATAGCCCTTAAAGTCTTATCTCTCCCCTTCCATTTGAATTTGCTCTATTTTCTGTTGGGAAAAAAAAAAAAAAAAAAAGCCTAATTTAAATTTAGGCCTATTCATGGTGTGTCTGAACCTCCCAATGCCTAGAAACATGGAGGAGAGTAAAGAAGTATTATTTAAAATCCACTCAGCTAAACAGAGCTTTGTTATAATTTCACTAAAGCCTGTGAAAAATTACTCCAGCCCTGTGTCTCAGGATACTCCTGATAAAAATGGAGTTGAAAAGAATTTTCTTGCAATGCTATGGGCTCAAAACCAGTTCAGGCTGCCTGACCTTGCCCCCAGCTAACCCTCAACATTATCATAACAATTTCCTCTGGTCAAAATCCAGGCCAAATTCTGGGAGGGGTTGGGAGGGCAGCAGCAGGAACAGAAGCACAGCTGTGAAATTTGGCATTTCTCACCCAGCTGGGCTCTGGGCAACCAGAGAAGGGCAGAGCAGCACCAGCAGCACTCAGCCATTCATTCCATGGCTGGAAACCTCTGGGATGCTGGGCCCAGAGCAGGAATTTCCCTGGCTGCAGGGTGGGGAGGAAGGCTCAGCTCTGCACAGGACACATCCCCTATGTCAGAATCTGAGGTATAATCAAAATTCATAAGCAGCTTCCTGCTCTTCCATTCTTTAGAGGAGAAGTCTGGCAAAAACTGTTTTCCATCGAGAAAAAATAAAATGACAGGGGTTTAAAACTGATGAGTTGATGTTTCAAGCTGCTGCATCCTCCTTTAACCCAGGACCAAGCAAGGTGCTGACTAATAAAGCACAGACTGTAAATAATGGTGTCAAGACCCTTTTCTAATAGGCCATTAAAATGTATTTTAGCTGTGTTTATCCACACACACAGGGCCTCCACATGCCCCTAATGCACTCTGCAGGGCTGGAGCAGAGCTGACTCCCCAGAAAGCACCAGAAAGGGGTGGGCAGCACTGCTGTGCCCACCTGATTGATAACCAATAGCCAGAATTCCTGACAGGGGTGAGCAGCACTGCTGTGCCCACCTGATTGATAATCAATAGCCAGAACTCCTGAAAGGGGTGAGCAGCACTGCTGTGCCCACCTGGCTGACCATCAATACCCCAAATTCCGGAATCATCACACTCCAGAGGCCAGGCAGGGCTCACCAACTTGCAGCCAAAGGCAAATCCAGTGCCCTGTGCCCATCTTATCCCTGTGAAATCCCCACTGCAGCCTGCAAAGGGCAAGGGAGAAGCTCCCAAAGCACTTCCACAGCCACAAGGAACTTCCCACCACCAGCACCACCTTCCCTCCGCTCCAGCTCCATCCTCCCCCCAAGGGAAGCTCTGTTACCCCGCCCTGGCACACGGCAGCACCTGAGGGCACCCCAGGCGCTGTGCTGGGTTTGGAAGGGCATTTCTGGGCAGGCTGAATTGGGGGCAGAGGGTTTCTCCCCCTTTTTCTGTCCAACTCCTCGCTGACGGCTCCACGCACACGGCTCTGCTGCCACACTATGGGAACTCCTGGCTACTGCTGCCGGAATGGGAGAGCCTGGAGCTCTTGGAACTTTGTTCCACAGGGGTTCAGCTCTCAGCACAGCTGAACTGATTTCCTGGCATCACGCCCCAAACCCTCTGTGACCCCACAAAGGGCGGGTGCCTCCCCTCCCTCCCTGCAGACCCAGGCACTGACGCCCAAGTTAGCATCCTGCTCGCACAAAAACATCCTTGGTGCGGTCTCAGAATCTAAAGAGAGGACTTATTGATCAATGCCTCCGGCTCTGATGCAGATAAAAAACCATCTGAGGTCTAAAAAGCTTTCGCAGGTCTTCTGCTCATGAAGCAAAACCACCCAGAGCATCAAGCTGTGGCTGAAGGAACCAGAGCAGAGCTGAAAACGCAGGCAGGAGGGACCAGGGGCCTGAGAAGAAAGGATTAAATGCTCAGCGAGGTACAGAGGGAAGCCTGGAAGATCCAGTATGAGTAAGGCACAGACAGCTCAGAAAAAGAGAAAAAGCTGAAAGCCCCTGGTGGAGTAAATCTGAGATTTTGGGTATCTCTCCAACAGTCTGCTCGCATGAGGAAAGCTCAACAGAAGCTGCTGCAACGGTTTTCCTCTGTGCACAGGCTGAATGTTCATGCCGAGATGAAAAATAGCCACCAAAATAAACATTCAGCCTTTATTAGGGACCTGTAGGTTCTTTGGGTGGGTTTAAAGCCTTTCCTAACAGATCCTCGCAGTCAGCAGAACTGTTCAGCTCCTCTGCAAGAGTGCTCAGGAGCAGCAGTTAATCCTCATCCCCGAGCCCCTGGAAGGAAACCTGCCTTACATAATAAAATCAGTCTTGCATTCCAGATAAAGTTTTTCCTCAAAAAAAAAAAACAAAACAAAACAAAAAAAAAAACCACAAAAACCAAACCAAACCAAAAAAACCCCAAAAAACAAAAAAACCCAAGGAGCTTTCATACCCATCAACACCCAAACACACATTCCTCCAGCCTGGGATACAGCAGACAGAACAACGGGACTTGGAAACTTGGAAATCGGGGCACTGCACAGTGTGGAGAGCAGCACTGCCAAGCACTCGTCTCTCCCACTCTTCCCCCTCCTACACACACAGAAGGACAGTCCCTAAATATTTGCTGTTTACACCAGAAATAAACTTCACTCCCTGGATCTGCTTTGGCTGCAAGGGCAGCTGCGGAAATGAGGTAGGAGACACAAGCAAACTGCCCCCAAATTCAAGTCTTCTTCTGCTTTCAAGCCCAAACATGCATATTTCATAAAAAGCAGCAGCATGCTGAGGCCAACGAGCTCATATATAAGAGATATTCAACTGGGAAGGCAGGAGGGAAAGGAGGAAAGTGCTTCCATCTTCAATGCAAGGCATCCAGAAATCTGTTTTAGCAGCAGGGTAGTGAAATCCTGAATTAAGATGCCAGGGGAAAGTGGTGCTGGCATTTTTCACAGTCATCCTGCACATCACCAGTGCCTGTGCCCAAACCTGACCCAGCGGAGAGAGAAGGGGAATGAGATCATGGAGAGGCACCCGTTATCACACGCCAGCGCTGCAAAAACCGCTGCTCCCGAAGGATGCAGCTCCAGAGGTCTGATCAAAGCCCCTCAGAGCCGTGCCTGAGATGCCAGGGCAGAGTGTGCCACCACCCCAGTGCCACCACCCCAGTGCCACCACCCCAGTGCCACACAGCCTGTAACCACTACCCCAGTGCCACCATTCCAATGCCATCACCCCAGTGCCACCACCCCAGTGCCATCACCCCAGTGCCACACAGCCTGTAACCACTACCCCAGTGCCACCACCCCAGTACCACCACCCCAGTGCCACCACTCCAGTGCCATCACCCCAGTGGCACACAGCCTATTGCTACCACCCCAGTGCCACACAGCCTAGTGCCATCACCCCAGTGCCACCATCCCAGTGCCACACAGCCTGTAACCACTACCCCAGTGCCACATAGCCCAGTGCCATCACCCCAGTGCCACACAGCCTATTGCTACCACCCCAGTGCCACCACTCCAGTGCCATCACCCCAGTGCCACACAGCCTATTGCTACCACCCCAGTGCCACTACCCCAGTGCCACATAGCCCAGTGCCATCACACCAGTGGTACACACCCCAGTGCCACACAGCCTATTGTCATCATCCCAGTGCCACTACCCCCATGCCACCATCCCAGTGGCACCCAGCCTATTGCCATCACCCCAATGATACCACCCCAGTGGCACCCAGCCTATTGCCACTACCCCAGTGCCACCATCCCGGTGCCACCCAGCCTATTGCCACTACTACCCCAATGCCACCATCCCAGTGGCACACAGCCTATTGCCACCACCCTGGTGCCACTACTCCAGTGGCACACAGCAAATTGCCACCACCCTGGTGCCACCACCCTGGTGCCACTCAGCCTATTGCCACTACCCCAGTGCCACCAGCCCAGTGCCACACAGTCTGTAACCACTACCCCAGTGCCATCATCCCAGTGCCACTACCCCAGTGCCACCAGCCCAGTGCCACACAGCCTGTAACCACTACCCCAGTGCCATCATCCCAGTGCCACCACCCCAGTGCCACACAGCCTATTGCCACTACCCCAGTGCCACCATCCCAGTGGCACCCAGCCTATTGCCATCACCCCAATGCCACCATCCCAGTGCCACCACCCCAGTGCCACACAGCCTATTGCCATCACCCCAGTGGCACACAGCCTATTGCCACTACCCCAGTGCCACCATCCTAGTGCCACCCAGCCTATTGCCACCACCCCAATGCCACCATCCCAGTGGCACCCAGCCTATTGCCACCACCCCAGTGCCACCATCCCAGTGCCACACAGCCTATTGCCACCACCCTGGTGCCACCACCCCGGTGCCACCCAGCCTATTGCCACTACCCCAGTGCCACCACCCCAGTGGCACACAGCCCAGCACCATCACCCCAGTACCACCACCCCAGTGGCACACAGCCTATTGCCACTACCCCAGTGCCACTACCCCAGTGGCACACAGCCTATTGCCACCACCCTGGTGCCACCACCCCTGTGCCACCCAGCCTATTGCCATCTATCACCCCAGTACCACCACCCCAGTGCTGCACAGTCTGTAACCACTACCCCAGTGCCACACTCCAGTGGCACCCATCCTACTGCCACTACCCCAGTGCCACCCACCCCGTTCCCGCAGGGGACCCGCACCGCTGCCCGCAGCCCAGGAGCCGGCGGAGGATAGCAGCAGAAGCTGGTGCAGAAGTTGCCCGCGGCACTCACCCATGGCCGATCCTGCCAGCAGCCCCAGGGAGAGCAGCAGCGCCCGGCTCCAGGCGCTCCCCTCCGCCGTCAGCAGAGCCACGAGCCCAAATTTCCACCAGTGCCCGCCGGAGCCGCAGCAGCATCCCGGCCGGTCCCATCCCAGGGAAGGTCGCATGTCAAAGGGCAGCAGCAGGAATGGGGCGTGCTGGGGCTCTGCTGGTTGCCGCTGATGGGTTTTTCCCCCTTTTTTCCTTCCCCTCGGCGATTGGGATAGTCCTCGGCTCGGCTGGATGAAGAGGAGAAAGGCAGGAGGAGGGGGAGGAGGTGAGGGGGAAGCGGGTCAGGCTTGTGATTTTGATTTCTTTTGGATTTTTTTTTTTTTCCCTGAATTTTTTCAGCCCGGGAGGAGGAGAGGGAAAAAAAAATCCCACCGCATGGAAGGCTGTGAGCTTCTGCAGCTGGAATGAACCAAGTGTGGCAGCAGCTCGGGGAGAGGAGAGGAGAGGGAAGGCGAGGAGAGGAGAAGAGAGGAGAGGAGAGCAGGGGAGGGCTGGCGCGTCCCTCCCGGTGGCTGTCTCAGAGCCAGCTCCTCGGCAGCAGCACCACCAGCACCACGCAGCCCTCAGGGATTTATACTTTTTTTTTTTTTTTTTTTTTATTAAGCCACTTGATTAATCGTTCCCGGAGCTTTGTTCCCTCTCTAGAAACCGGGTGCTGTGGAAAGGGTAGGGGGATGCTGTGCTACCCACCCCAAACCCGGTACCAGCATCCTACCAGCACCCAGCCCCACAGCCAGGGCTCCAGCAGCGTGTTTATTTTTGATATCCAGGTTTCCTGCTAAGGAACGAGCCCCCCCAGCCCCCATTTCTCTCTCTCACACACATCCCTGTTACCACCCCCCCATAAACAACCTGATGCTATTGACACAATTTCTGTGATGAGGCAAATTTTGTTCCAAACACAGATCACGACAGACCCCCCACCCCTCCCCTCCCTTTTCCCTGTCTGTGGCTTGTCCTCGCAGCACGGCTCCCTGATCCTGGTGGGACTGATCCAGGGGCATCCTGGAGGTGGGAAAGGCTGTGCCCCCTCCCCCGAGCCATCAGGGGGGCTCGGCAGGGCTGGCAGAGCCCCGTTTCTCCCCCAGCAGCGGCAGCACCTCCCCTTGTTTTTGTTTTAACATCTCCCGGTACGCCGGTCCCCGGAGCTGCAGGCAAGATGGGGAAAAGGGAGGGAGGAATGGGAATGCAGCCACTTAACGCCGCGTTCGGGAACTTCATTATCTTGCTAATGATGCTCAGATCCAGGGACAAGGAAAACAACTCGAACATGACACCAGAGCTTAAGGAAATAAATAAATAACGAAGAAAAAGGCACTCTGGAACGCTCGAGCATCCTCCCCCTCCTCCCTCCTCGCCAAGCACCGACTTTACGTTGGTGACAGGCTCGGAGCTGCCGCTCTCCCCCCAAACCCCTGAGGAACAGGGGGTGTTGGCAGCCCCACATCCCCTCTCCAGCGCTGTTATCCCCCTTTCCCCCCGCCCATCCCCATTTCCCCCGCTCCCCCCGGGATGCGGGGCCGGGCCGGTGCCGCCGGTGCCCAAAGCGGGTCCGGGCCGCTCGCCCCGGCCCTGCCGTGCCCACCTCGGGGGCTGCCCTGGCACCCATCCCCCTGCTCCCCCGGCTTTGCATTTGCTGCAGTTTCTTGCTGCAAAACCCCCTTCTCCGGCCGTGTTCCGGCTGCCCTGAATGAGCTTATTGGACAGCTAAACCCCAAATTCTATATCGAGGGCTCGCAGATCTGTCCCTCCACGCTGGGATCAATTCTCCTCCTCCTCCTCTCTCCCTCTCCGTCCCCTCCGCATTTCAATCCTCGCACTGCCCACACCGGGAGCCGCTGCCAAGAGCCCAGGCAACCGCGGCTGGCACATGAAAGAGTTGCTTTATGTCTGTTTAAGCTGCAGCATCAATTCAAACAGCCCCGATTGTGCACAGCTCCCCCAGGGAAAGCTCCATCAGCCGCTGTCCCCTGGCCACGCTGCCATGTCCCCCAGCCCAATATCGCTGCAGGGCAGGGGCTGAGCCAAAGAGCCCTGCGTGCATCCACAGGCATAACAAAAAAAAAGCATTGAGGAGCCAAAATCCCACTATATTCCCGGGCAATCGGATCGTAAATATTTCAAACCCAGGGATTCCTCCCGGGTAGGTTTGCATCGCCAAAAAACCCGGAGGTTTAGGGTTGAATTGTCTCCAGAATAATTAAGGAAAAAAAAAATACAGCGTTTATTGGCGGAACGGACAATCGCCATGAGCGAGGCACAAAACATCCCTGCCATGCCCAAATTTTCATCCCCCAGGGAGGGATGCTGGGGTCGCCAGCATCTCTCACCTTGCGAGATCACCTCTCCCTACACGCACAATTCCTGCCGGGACACAAAAACGCTGCTCTGCACTGCCACCCGGAGCCCAGCCGGGCTGTGGGGACACATTCCCCGAGATGTCAGCCCCTTCTTCATCCCCGAGATGTCAGCCCCTTCTTCATCCCCGAGATGTCAGCCCCTTCTTCATCCCTGAGATGTCAGCCCCCTTCTTTATCCCCGAGATGTCAGCCCCCTCTTCATCCCTGAGATGTCAGCCCCC